TATGTTAGTTTAAAATTAATGTTAGTTGTATTTGTTATGTCTTTATTGTTATTTTATTTTTCATGTATATAACACTCATATATTAGATTACATACTTTTCTTTTATGCTTTAGTATCATATAAACTTAGGCAAGCCTTAAACAATATAGGATTTAAAAGGAAAATTAGTTAGAAGTAGATCCTTAACTCACTAATTATAATCTGCTCGCAAATTATTATGTTTTTCGCTCACCTTTCTCTCTTTTAAAAATTTTTAAAATCCAGAACTTAGCAAAACAGCAGCTCTATTTCAAAAGGGGAAAATCAGATCTCAGCTTCATTTTCAAAAGAAAAATCTTAACTTCAAGAATTGTCGGCCTTAAGGAATTTTCGGCAAAATAACCTCTTCTTTGAAAACCCTCTGAATCTGAGGTAATTTTAGGCTCACTTTCTTGCAAAACATCCTTTTAGAGTTATGTAAATAACCATCCCCCCAAATCAAAGTATTTTCATAACTCAATTTCTTTCAATACTCTTATGAACCTCTTCATAAACTCATATCCCTTTACAACCTCTCATTCTTTCTATCAATATCATACTTAGGTATACAGTAAGCAGCATTCCTTATCACTAGTCAAAGAAGTTTATAAATAATTGATCCCAAACTTAGTCTAAATCCTATGGAGCTACCTTAGGTAGATTTTAAGGGGTGCCTAACACCTTCCCCTTAGAAGAATAAGAGCCCTTACCCATAATCTTACCGGTTAGCAGATTAGATAGATACCCTAGTATACCTTTAAATATTAGGTGGCGATTCTCTTTTTATCAACAACAGAGGAACCACAAGTTGAATCATGTCTTGACTAGCACAAAATAGGGTGAAACAGTGGTGTGCCTACTTTATGTGAGTTATACCTTGTACATTTTGTGGTGATTGTTTCTTATGTGCCTTTCATTGTCTCTACTCTTACTTGTTAACTTGAATTGGGATAGAATACTTACACAAGCATACACGTAATTAATCACCCATATCTATTTAAGAAGATGAATCCTGATGTTATTGACCATTTACATGTACTCTCGTTTACTTGCCTTCTATGTGAGAGTTGTTCTATTAGCACGTGAGTTGTCCATGTGGTCATGAATCATTATTATTGTTGACATGTGAGTTATCCGTGCGGATATTTGATATGATCACCCCCTTGGCACGTGAGTCATCCACACGGTTATGAATTGAAATGTGGGCACGAGATGCCAAGTGATTAGGGTTCACGAATTGGGACTCGTGAAATGTGACTACGGGGTGAAGTACCTCGGAGAAATCTTTAAATAAATCTTGTGTGGGAGCGGTTGCTCCTATTGAATTATTAATGTGACCTCTACTTAGTTTCACCGGACTTTAACTGCATTCAACTTACCCCACGGCATTATTACCTATTTGTTTCCCTGCTGTTAGTTGTTGTTCTTAGTTTTCTATTACAAGCACTGTTTGTTATTGTTATCATGCTTAGATTTATTCTGATATTGTTCCCTGTTAGTTTCGTATTCATACTTGTACATGTTATTTGATCTAGTAAGTGTCTTGACTATCCCTCGTCACTACTTCACCGAGGTTAGTCTTGATACTTACTGGGTACCGCTGTGGTATACTCATGCTACGCTTTCTGCACATTTTTATGCTGATCCAGGTCCTACGAAGTTGATTGATCATTAGCTAGTTGTTCGCACTTTGCTGTGGAGACTCAAGGTATACCTGTCGTCGCGTTGGCAAGCCTCGGAGTCACCTTCTGATATTGTACTTGTATTGTTTATTTCTATTCCGAAACAGTTGTACTTAGAAGACTTTTCTAGTAAACGCAGTAGAGCTTATGACTTGTACTACCGGTTTTGGGATTGTAAGCTTTGTATAGAAAATTTTTGTTCATGTTTAATAGTTTTTGGTTGAGTTTGCCATTAATTCAGTAAGTGTTAGGCTTACCTAGTCCCTAAAACTAGGTGTCATCACGACATTCTACAGAGAAAAATTAGGGTCGTGACAGTTAGAGCGATTGCCTTTAGAAAATTCGAGCTCAACAGTTTATAGCGATCACGTTAAATCTTTAAAAATATTTTTTTGTGATTTTTGTGGAACTAAATGTTGAGCATCTTTTCACCGATTTTCAATATCTTTGGTTGTAGCTAGTTGGCATTTCATATTAAATTACTATTATTATGTTTTTTTTTTAATTTTGGTTCGAAAACATTAATTATTTCTTTGAGGTAGGATTAGTGTCAGAAAATTTATCAAAGAGTGTAGAGAAAATTACTTGAGAATATTATACATTAATTTAATCCAATAATGGTTAAAAGTCATGAAGAAATAATGAATTTTCAAGAGTTAATTGACAAAACAATAAAAAAAATAATCACAACTTAAATGAGATAGAAAACTTGAATATATTCATACAGAAAAGAAAGTGTGTTACAAGAGGAGAAATAATTAATATGGAGGGCATCCGACTTGGTCTTATTCAAATGCTCTTTACTACTTGTAATTTAGTACTTTCAGTTTCAATGTTCGCTTAATCTTTACTTTTTTTTTTTTTTTTAATTTCTGGACCAGTTTATGAAGATTCAGCATTGCAACTGTTAGCTTTTATCCAACTTTGTGAAAGAAAAAAAAATTAAACCAACTAAAAAATATATTTTAATCTACTAATTTTCCATTTAATTAAAGAGTTATAATTATTTTAATCACTACGCATGAACTAAATTAATTAAAGAGTTATAATTATTTCACATTATTCAAATAATAAGTAAATAATTTATATAAATAAATATTAGACACATGATCGCTAAACATAAGAAAATAATAAGTTACCTCAATATGCTTTCTTGTGTCTAGGGGTGTTCGTCGGTCGGTACGGTACGGTATTTCGATATTTCGGTTAGGTATTTTCGGTATTCGGTTTCTTAAAATGGTATACCAATACCGTACCTAATTAAATTCGGTATGGTTCGATTTTTCTCTTTTCGGTTTATTCGGTTCGCTAACATCTGTTTATTCGGTTTGAATACTAACAAGTGCATAGAATCATAGACTATAATATTCTTAATTAATGTACTTAAAAGTACAAAACAGAAAACGTTTGTTGACAAAAGTTTTGTTCAAAACAAGCAAATATCAACCTAGAGAGAGAAAACTGCACATAAAGGAATAAATTTGATCATTAGAAATGTCTTCTTACTTGCTTAGAGTTAATTGATGAACTTAGAGAATAAAGGAAAGTAAAATTTCAATTTTTTATATTTATGTTATAATTAATAATATGTATTTTGTGTAATATAATATATATTTCGGTACAGTATCGGTATTTCGGTATTTCATTTAAAAATACCAAATACCATATTTTTTAAAAACTTAAACCAAATACCATATCGAATACCAAAAAATCAAATACCAAATACTAAAATTTTCGATTTCGGTACGGTAATTCGGTATTTACCAAATTATGCACAGCCCTACTTGTGTCAGCTTCAAAGGTTCCAAAAGCTTCTAAGACCTAGATTCCGCAACCTAAAATTGGATAAAACGATACCAAAAAATATAAAAAGAATCTGAGACAAGATTCTTTCCCAGAAAATTGACTCTTAAAGCAATAATGAAGTCATTAAATCAGAGGCGGAGTCAGAATATAAAGTTTATGTGTTCTAAGTTAGTCATCGAATTCATAACTCATTTAGCTACTGGGTTCACGATTAAATAGTTATACATATCTAATGAATTTTTAATACAAATATAGAGTTTAAACAAAAACTATTGGGTTCATCCGAACCCGAAACTCATACTATAGCTCCGCCCCTGCATTAAACATAATTAAAATCTAAATTAAAGACAAATATGCCATAGTTTCCGTCTAAGAAAACTTGTGCGAGAGACAAAATTTCGTTGAATAAACAAATTCTTAATTGACTTCAAAGTCGTCTAAGAATGCTTGTGCCACGATAGACAAAATTTCTAATGAATAAACATCTTAATTGACGTCGTACATATAGTTTGGTAACATACTTTAAATAAGAAAAGAATTTTGATATAGTAAAATCTTAATACATTTTAAAGTCCTTAATTTTAGGACTTTTTACCTATTTCAAATAAGGAAAGATGTAATAATTATATTTTTAATTATTTTCAATGTCCTAAATATTAGGAAAAAAATTATTAAATGACTATTTTGTTTAGTGTGAACTCTATTTTTAAAGGGTAAAAAAGACGAACGACATTTCGCTAAGGGTGTTCGTGCTTTTAATATAGTACTAGTCTCTATGTACGTGCTTTACACGTATATTTCAAGTAAAAAATTGTATAATTTGTACAAAAGATAGTAAAATATTAATCGTCAAACACAACTCATTAACTTGAACATGCACAACTTTTACCAAATTGATTTATCCTTTCTTGTGAACATAGGCTCTACGGCAAAATTTGAGAGTACAATTAGAGAAAGTATGTAGTAATAACTTCCTATCGACATAGTGAATTTCTTATCCTATAAACTTATAATCTCTATTAAAATCAGACTTTGGAATTAAAGAAACAAGTGTAAGGAAATTGTGCAACAAAAACTTCTTGGAAGTAGCAAGAAATCATGCGACGTGGATGTCAGATGAAGCACACTCCAACTTCTGTGAACGGCTCTCTGCTATATAGATCTTATCTTACAAGGAGCAAAATATACTTTAATGAAAAGTTCTCTTTTTTGGCTTAGACTGAATTTTCCTTGAACACGTGTTAGCGCTCTAGGCATGTGTCAAAATCAAAATTAGATTCGCACGCCACATATCAAACCTTGATGAGCATCACTACTAATATGGCCTACTGATTCGTAAGCAAAAGTTATTGTTTTAGTCGACTATGTAGAACTAATGTTCATGAGTCTAAATAATAAAGTTCACGAAGTTAGCTTCCCATAAATAATTAACATACTTTCAGATATCAATTCACCAAAATATTTATTCTTTCCTTGTCTATTGCTTGATTAGCTTGGACAAGATAGAGCATACTATTTACTTCTCAATGATATAACAATCATTGTTGCATACGCCGTTGTTGCATCATATTCTTACCAATTTTCACCAAGTTTTGTTTGCAAGAAGTGGATCTCACAAACATAGAACAAAAAGAAAAAAACAAAGGCAAAGTAAATTTCCTGCTTAATTCTTGAACAATATAATATCGAAATGGAATTGGCTTTGTTTCCTTTCTTGCAAAAATAAGACCCTACATATCAAGGCCTGTTGGACATCAGTTTCAGTCAAGTAAAAAAAAGAGGTTAAATTGATGTACAAACTCTTTAGAAAACTTATATGGAAGTACAGGAAAAGAAATTCACATGCAATTGGAATAAATAATTAGAATGGTACAGGAAAATTTGTTTTTTCTTACTTACTTCTTCTTTTACTTCCGCTTCGAATCTTCAAGTAGATCCTACAACAAAAATCATGACCAAATAATTCAAGAAAGGACTAATAAAGAAACAATCTCCAAACGATAATATAATTTTAAATATTTAAGATCGCAAATAATAAGAATTATTTTCTACAGGTGTTGATGAACTTGATGATATGAGTGCTAAAGTAGATAGAATTTGATTCACAATCTACTGTTTTACAAATTTGAGTTTTCTTCAACATATCATTAAGCTATATTCATATGGCGAGTTGTTTTATATGTGCTATAAACAAACTCGAACATATCACTTTCTCTATGAATCCAAAAACAAAAAGTTGTGAGGTTGTAAAGGAAAAAGGAAAAAGTATGCTTGCGTATCTTGGAGTTGGAGAGATGGCCACAAAAGAGATATTGGCGGACGAGATTAAATACGTAAAGTCAGCGATATTTTGTACAAAATACTAATTAAATTGAGACTCAGCAGGACGTTTCCTTTGCAACCACAAATTCCTCAATCTCGTTCCATCACAAAGTCTTCCTTTGTAAGATCAATTTTTCAATACGTTCCATTACAAAAAATTTAGTAAAGTTTGAATTGATTTCAAAGTCCTAAATATTATGAGCAAATGTTCAATTTTACAATTTTATCCAATATGGAGTTATTTATAAGAAATAATAATTTAGTTCTAAGGATATAAAAGTTGATAAATATTACAAGAATATTTTTGTCGTTCAACATTTAGCATAAACATTCGTGCTTTTATAATAATATAGATAGATAGATATAGATAGATTATCGAAGAACGTCTATATGATCCTCCTTATTTCTGTACAATGTGTACATAAAAGACCCATGGTAGAATAAGTGGAGGTACTTCAGTCTTTCCAAATAAAGCACTAGCTAAGATAGCCCGCCCGAAAGGCATGCTTTTGGTGTTAGTTGTTACGTCGAAAGCTTAGCATTTTGGGAGAATGGCACAATATAATCATTTGGCACCACCGTTTAAATTTTGATTCCCGTAAAAAAAGCCTTGGAAAAATAATCTAAGCACGTAGGTTTCAGAAATTATTGGACAAATCTTATGGTGATTTGTCAAAATTCTAACTATTGTCATAATTTTAGCAAGTTATGGTGATAGTCACAAAATTCTAACTGTTGCCATATTTTTGTGCAATTGGCTACAAAATTCTAACCGATCAACAAAAAATTTCGCATTGTGGGTTAAAATTCTAGTAATCATCAAGATTTCTGGTGCTTTAAAATTCTGACCGACATGCTTTAAAATTCTAACGCGGGGTTATTTTTCCAAAGCTTTAATTTAAATAGGAAGTACATTTGTTGAGATTACCAAATGAGGAATACTAAGATTATATATTAGAAATATTCATAAATATGAAAACTTCACAAATTATCCAATTCTAGTAAACTTGTGCAGAACTTGAAGCAGAATAGAAGTTGAAGAAGGCTACCGAAAAGCTTCCCTCTAGCAACTGCGAGTGCGAGTGCAGCTATTTTCTGTGCAGTTCCTTTCTGGTATTGCTCTTGACTGCTTCTTATCTTTATACAACTGCAATCAAGAAAGAGAATGTGAATCAGTGCTCGGATTATCTAGCTCACTATTTACGAACTTAAGCTGTAAGTTATCTCATATTTCAAGTTAAGAACAAAGATGATACTGGTTTTTGAAGGAAACTAACTAAATGGGATTGTTCCAATCACCAAATCATTAAGGAGGATATACATTAGTCCTCTAATACGTAAGAATTTTCAAATTAATATGACAAATCTAGAACTTAGGTTGTACTAAACCAACCAGTTTAAATACAATACTGAATCACAAGTCTCCTCAAACTTTGGAACCAATATGAAAATATTCAAGAAATCCTACTATGCCTTCATGTAGACTTTTTTTAATAGGTACGGCAAAATATTATTGATAAAACAGTACACAACGAGGTACTGAAATGTTACAAAAAGCTGGACTCCATCAAACACTACGCAAAAACTGTATCTAGAGAGCCCATAAACACTATGCCTTAATGTAGACTTTGTAATCATCTTCCAAATATCAGTTCACAAGCAGTACACAGAAGCTGTAAATATTCAATAGATAGACCCGTCACATCATCTTTCCACAAATGATGCGCCTCAGTGCCAGATTGCCATTATTGTAGTGTATTATATATCCTTTTTCTCTTTGTATTGGAAGTCAGAGCAAGCATCGAGTGCCAAAAGGTAAGTGATAAAGAAATGTTTGCTTGGAATACTCACTTCACTTTCTCGTGCATGGATGCTCAACATCAAAGTTTTAGTCAGCGGAGGTGAATGCAGGGTGGAGAAAGGAAGAAGGAGAAAACGAAGAACCCGAGACCGGACCAAGTTATAATTTTGTTGATTATAATGCAAGAGCAAATCAAACTGTTCCAAGACATACTAATCAGCTCAGATATCTTTGATATTGTTCGTTGAAGTAAAACCAAGGTCTACTTCCTTGACAAATTGAAAACCAAGGTAGCTAAATTACATCTATAATTATCCTTGATTCTCTACAAAATCACCTACTAGGACTTTGATTCAGGGGAGATGAGTTCAGAGCAAGGCTCTCACCCAGATTGATTCATATAGTCACAGGATTACTGTTATCAGTATACTATCTCAAGAAAGAAAACACAATCTCTTATGTTTTTCTGCTGCTAATGCAATTGTTTGAATTATGCTCACTGGAAGCAATTAACCCCTACAAAAGCTAACCTATTAGGAATAGCATTGAGGGAAAAAATATCATGCTACGATAGCAAATAGGATGTCAATTTCCAATCTTTAACGGAATCATTGATTGGAACAGGAAAGAACTGGGTTTTTTTCCCTATATCCAGTTTTCTGTTATTTTCTTACATGGTGGAAAAGTGCTCTATAAACAGTATTTTAGAACATTTGGACAGTCCAAAAGGCGCAAGAGAGAGGCTATTGAATGGAACTATAGCAGTAGCTAGATGGAAAGTAAAGGTCTAGTATAAGATTGTATTCTCAAAGGTCTGGCAAAATGAATTTTTCTCCAGAAGGCATTCTACCGTCTAACATGTTCCCAACCCTATGATGTACTTGCGCAAAAATGAATGTGCCTACAAATCAATACTTACTCAGAGGATAAACAAAGAAAAGCTATGATAATCAGAAGTGATAACAAGATTGCAAAAGGAATGTGCAGCTTTTAGCTTGTCAAAAATCCAGTTCACCTTCTCTTAAGTATTTTAAAGAGAGTCCACAACAAAAATAACCATCGAGATTGTTGAAGTTAGAGCTCACATGTTGATTTAGTGTTTGGAAAATCAGGAAATAGTATAATCTCTTAATTATCAAATAAGAATGATTGCTAACCCATGGCAGACAGATAATATGAATCTAGCAAATAATCAAGAAAGAAAAGAATACTCATTCTCTCATTCTAGTTTCAGAAAGTAAATTGATTGACTTTTGTTTTCAGATGCACTGCTTACATCTGTATGTTAATGTGATAGATATATAAGGATGAGCCTACTTGGCGTAAACATATATTTAAGACCTTAAGCGCTTTTATGAGACAACAGTCTTTAAAGTAGATATAAGTGCAAGAAGCTACTAGGGATATATATTTTTAAGTGTTTGATTATAAAAGAAACAATACAGTGTTTAGAAAATCAGGAAATAGTATAATCTCATAATGAGCATATAAAGCATAACTTTTAACCGATGGAAGCCAAACAAAATGAATCTAGCAAATAATCAAGAAAGAAAAGAATACTCATCCTGTCATTCTAGTTTTAGAAAGTAAATATGTAGACTTTTGTTTTCAGATTGGAAAACCTTTACATGATGAGGAAGTGTAGAAGAAATACACAGTTCAATCGAAGAGCCAACATAATCCGTTTTTAAAAGAGTAAAACTTAGAAAGTTTTATTTAAATTTAAAAGTGCATGACAACTGAGTCACCAATACCTATTAACATCATCTCCCGGAACCATTTAGGGCTGATCAAAATCGAACCGAAACCGTTAACCGAACCGATGTCTTATTGGCTTATTGGTATCGAATTATCGGGGTAATGGATTGTGAACGGATTGAGATTTTATAATTAACGGCTTAACGGTTTGTGGGCGGATTACTCAATTTTCTTATCTGGTAAACCGTTAAGAATTTTTATATTTATACTTTTACCCCTATGTATATAAAGTATTATTAAAACCTAAATGGCTAAATCCCTTCTAATTCTCAATAGAACTGTCGTCTGTCAGTAGCTAATGGCAGTCGTCTTTGGCTTCTAATCAGGAAAAGCTACTACAACTGACAGAGACAGTTTGAACTATGCATTTGGCCGTTTGGTATTGATTTTCAAAAAATTTCTATTTGGTTTAGCCGATAAATCGCCCAATAACCGCCCGATAATTGTCAATCCGATACCAATCCGCCCGTTGTCTTGTTGGATGGCTAGCGGATTACTACATTTATAATCCGATAACCGATAAGCCGAACCGTTAAGCGTAATTATCCGCCCGATAAGCACCCCTAGAACCATCCCTTCTTCAATGTCTATTGACACTAGCTTCTCAAATGTCGTTTCGACGGCATCCTTTTGCACTGGCAGCAGTGGTAGTAGAGTAGCTGGAGCTCCTCTCCTTAAAGTAAAGTGGCTTTATGGTAGGAGAGTATGTTTTAAGTATGCAATGGCCTTAGGCGTCAAAGTTACATCAATATTTTTTTGGTGGGCTTGAAAAAGAGATGGACGCAATACAGTTTAAGGTCCTTGAATGTTAGCTTAGCCAGCCACTTAATAGAATGACAATTTTCCTAACCTCTATGTGCTCATTTAAATTAGGCCAAATACATATACAGCCCCTCTAACTTGACACGAAATTCCATCTTGGCACCTCATCTTAGCCAAGTTCCAATTGAACACTTCATGTACACCTAAACTGTGTCATTTAAACCCTTAAATGATAGCCGTAAAAAAATTAGTGTGCGTGAACTTTACACACGGTGACCTGTCAAATGTAACAAATAAGGAAACACCACATGGCTTTTTAATCAAACTAATGCCAAAAATAAGAAGAAGAAAAGCCTTTGAGCCTAAAGAAAACGAAAGAAAATTATTTTTTAAGAACCCCCTTCTTGAGTATCATCTTCTCCACCATCAACTCAGATTTTTATCCTTTCCGACATCAAAACCCTTCAACCCTTTTTCTCCACCATCTACTATTGACTCAACACCACCACTTCAAAGTTCTATTTCCAATTCGCAGACCATCTCTGTAAGTTGTTGAGAAAAACGAGCACCATATGGGTCTTAGAATTTTATCATAGACCACAATGAAAATTAAGAATAAAGACAGAAGACAAATATGGTACCGCAATTGTGCTGCAGATTTCATTAGGTGATAAATATTTTATTATTGGGGTAGGGTGTTGTAAGATCATTGCAGAGCATTTTTGAAGTATAATAATAATAATAAGCTTAATAATTTGTCATCAAATTGAAAGTTAGCTTTTGGTCCATTTTTTGATGTCTTACAGAGGTTAAACTCCAATTGTATATTATCTACCTGTTTTGCCAAGAATGAAACGGGACCGAGATTCTGGATTTCCTATAAAACTTTTCAAAAGTTCTCAAAATTTTTTCTGAACACAATGATCTCACAGGCTTGTTAAAAAACTTCTCTTTCGATAGCTCAACTTCCTCTTTCTTTTTATTTTATTAAAAAATAATGGAAGAAAGCAGTGATCTGTCAAGAAGAGATCGAAAATAGAAAGAAGAAAAGGAGATGTGCAGTAAAAAAAAAAAAAAAAAAGCAAAAGGCAACTTTTTAAGGAATGGGGCCCATTTTATATTTGTTAAAGTCATTTTACGCGCGCTAGATAAAAGTGAGAAACAAACATTGATCCATGTCATCATAATTGTTTAATTGTACAGTTTAATGGTACTTAAAGTGTTCAATTGGAACTTGGTTAAGATGAGGTGCCTAGATGGAATTTTGTGACAAGTTTGAGGGGCTATCTATGTATTTGGCCTTTAAATTAACTATAACTTTTGTTGACAAACACAACAAATAAATCTCACTCTTGATTTATATAAGCAATAATTATGCAGTCAGAGAAACAGAAAACTGGGTGTGGAATGTGAAGCACACCAAAAATAATTATGCACCACCCTCGTGATAACCAGTTACCAGTTTCTCAACCGACCATTTTACTCCTGACACACCACTGTAGACGGAGAGGGAATAAGGGACAATTTGTCGAATACCAATTTAACGAAGGGACATGAGTGGAATTCTGATGAATATCGGCATTCCTTTTTTTTTTTTTTTTTTTTTTTTTTTTTTTTTTTTTGCCAAGCCTGTGCAGCAACCCACAAAACAGAAGAATTACTAATGGCTTAAAGTGGACAAACTACCAAATCCAAATAACATCATTGTTCGAACTTCCAATTTATGTGGCTAAGTTTAATTGGACAGATAAAAAGGAAAGTGTGCCACATAAAATGGGACAAAGGAAGTACTATTTTCTTCACTACTTGAACCAAAGGGAATTCTTCTTTTACCAACTTATTTCTACATCTTGGAACTCTTAAATTTGTGGACCCCAAGTGGGACCAAGGGCGGGTCTAAGGTAAGGCAGATAAAGCCCTTGCCTTAGGCCCCCAAATAGTAAGGGCCCCAAAATTACAAAATACTATATTAGTATTATATATAATACCAAAATTTATACAAATATTATTAATAAAAAAATTCAAATTTTTACATTTTTAAAATTTTGATTGAAGGTTCCTATTGAGCGAGTAAATAATGATAAATTTTTTCTCGCATTAAAAAAAAGTATATTTACCTTCTCATCAATTCTAATTCTTCTTCCTCTTTGTATACTCTTTCTTCTCTTCATGTTTTTGATGATTTCACTCTCTAATTTTAACTCGGATTCTCTGAATTAGCTAGTTCTTTTTGTCATATTTTATTTATTCATACATCAGAATGCAAGTTCTTTTATGTCTATCTGTTTTAATAAAGAAATTCTCGAAGACAGTAGCGCAAGATTCGTACTCAATGGATAATGAGCTGAATCTTCTACCTATTTCTAAATATCATACTTTTGTCCACGGGAGAGTTCGAAACCGTGATGTGAGCCTAGCATCATCACGCATTGGGCTCGTATCACAGAAAGTCATGTGGGTTTCTTTTGTGTCTTATTATCATATGAATATTATGAAAATTTAAGGGCCTTTTAATATATTTTGGCTTTAGGCCACAAAATTAGTTGAGCCGCCCCTGGGTGGGACCCTCGGCCCAGCCACCAAAATATATTCCAAATAATACCGAAGTGGGATTAGAGCATCATGTAACTTAGGCAGTATGATAAACCATGGTTTTTCTTCATGTCTTCAGCATTCAGTCAGCTTAATCAGCCAGCTATGATGGAAATGCAAAACCAAAAGGGGAAAAAAACAAACAAAAGGCAACGCTATAAGCTTTTATTTATAACTTCCTAATGAATATGGTACAGAAATCTCTAGCCTTCCCAAACATCCGTCTTATATAATAATGGATAGCAGCAGCTGTGCACATTGAGAAATTTTTCCTTACTGGACTTGAGCTCAGGTAATATACTTTATTCCAAACCCTTTTCTGCAGCATTGGTTCTTCAGTCAACCACTAAATACTACTTAGCCTACAGTAGCCGTAGAAGTGATTCAAAAACAACAGGATGGAATTAGTATCATACTTAGTACACTCCTCACTGAGATTAATCAAAGGCTAAAAGGAAAAGTATTATATTCAAGTCCAAAAGAAAACTAAATTACTTGCATGGAAAAAAATACTTTCTTATGAATTAAAATGTTCAACACCCACAACAATTGGCAAGGAAAAGGTTATGGTTGATAGTGATGGAAAACTGTTACTGTTAGATCCACCAAAATAGGAAAGGATATGATTCGTAAAAGAGAGATAAGAAAACTCACAAGACATCTTAGTAGTCTTCATCTTCGGAATAAGAGCCATCGATGTATTGGTCATATATCTGATATTCTCCAAGACTCTGATCATCTTGCACTTCATCCACCCCCGCTGTACTGAATGGAAAATTACCAAAGAGCTCTTGCAAGTAATCTCTTGAAACATTATCGTGGTTTGTATCTGGGCAGCATATAGGAAACTTAAAATTTTGGGTAACTAATATCCGGCTCCAACAAAAACCTTGGCACCCAATTCCCAGTGTTTATAAACCAGAAGTTCATGGCTAGAAGACCCTAGAAAGGAAAAGGAGAAAGGAAAATTGCTCCAAACCACAAAATTAGACCCTAGAGGTACTTGAGCATAAAAAGTAACATATTGATCACTCCATGCAATTTCCATCTTCATTACAATGCAACGAGAGGAATGTCTATTTATGACCCAAAAAGAACTCTTTTTTTTTTGATAACCATGGTATATCCAAATCAGCTTGCACGCACCTCAACTAATTCGACAGGGCCAAAAATAACTTATCTTTTATCACACAAAAAGGAAATCATCACTTTACAACACAATGCTCAGTAACGACCCGACTAGTCGCTTTGCGTTCTAGCATTTCGTTTCGTGATTTGAGACCTTGAGTAAGCTCATTTGATGTTTCATGACTTGCGTATATGGTTGGTGTTGATTTTCGAGAGGTTCGGGAATGTTTTGGAAGATAAATTCTAATTTAGGAATATTTAAGTCGGAAGAGTTTACTATGGTTTGACTTTTGTGTAAACGACTCCGGATTGTGGATTTGAAGATTCTAGTAGGTTCTTATGATGATTTTGGAACTCGTAAGAATTTTTAGTTCGGGCCTCGGGTGGCTCGGGATTGATTCGACACTTCTATTTGAAAGTTGAAATCTATGAACTTAAGAGAGTTGCATAATTTGGATTGATCATTGATTCTTGATTTTGATGTTATTATTCGTGTTTTGAGCCTTTCGATAAGTTTGAGTAAGGTATATGAACTTGTTAGAATGATTGGACGGGGACTGAAGGGGCTCGGGTGAGTTTCGTGGTGGTTTCAGATCATTTTGAGCTAAGTTGGTTGTTGGTTTTTCTATTGTCAGTGATGGTCTTCGCGATCGCGAGGTGTATACCGCGATTGCGTAGAGGGAGAGTGGCAAGTGGAATTTTGTTCACCGCGATCGCATGGAAGCTATCCGTGATCGCGTAGGGTCGATTGGTGAAGCTTCGCGGTTGCGAGCGTTATTACGCGATCGTGTAGTAGACTTCTGGGACTGGAGGTGTTACTCTCTGCGATCGGGTGTGCAGGGTTGCAAATGCATAGGTGTTTGCCAGTGACACTTTGTGGTCGCATAGGTGCGCCCATGCGATCGCGAACTCGATGCATTATTTAGTTCCAGGGTATTTTATGTCCAAAATTTTGAGAATGTTCATTTTTCACTATTTTGAGTTTCGGAGAACGAGAGGAGGCGATTTTGGAGATGAATTTTGTGAGAAAGCACGGGAGAAAAATATATCATTAATCACTTGATTATAATACAATGAGCCTTATTTATAACTATATAAAATACATATCCTAGTCCTATTCTATGTGGGACTAGGACTAATTACATATTAATTACATAACTATCTAACACTTCCCCGCAAACCGATGCATACAAATCATATGTACCGAGCTTATTACATATGTAACTAATACGAGAACCAGTGAGGGACTTGGTGAAAATATCTACAAGCTTATCATTCAACTTCACAAACTTTGTAGCAATATCTCCTAAGAGTATCTTTTCACTAACGAAGTGACAGTCAATCTCAATGTGTTTAGTTCTATCATCGAACACAGGATTTAATGCAATATGAAGGGAAGCTTGATTATCATACACAAGTTCTATCTGGCTGATCTCACCAAACACATTGAGCCCAAATATCTGAGTATACCTATTCTTGAGATATGTTGATATACTTGATTTGGTCATAGTCACAAGTTATAATGTGAGCACACATCTGCACTTGTTATTCTTGTGATATGCCTTAAAATGTTGTACGACTACTTGAGTCTCCTTATTCATGTTAGAGATCATGTTTAGGCTTTTGATGCTTAATTGGACATAATGATCATTTGGAGGATAGATTACATGTTGGAGCTGCAGTAATACGTCACATACATGCATATATCATACATAGAGATCATCTATTATTCATATGCATACATCGCTGCATATGGTTCCCTAGTATGTACTGAGGTTATGACACGTGAGTTGTCCGCGCAGTTGAGATGATTATGGCATGAGGTTTCTGTCGTGCAGTGCACGAGGTTTTTGCCGTGCGGTTGTTATGATATGGATATGGCATGAGGTTTCTGTCGTGCGATGATTGTGATATGAGATTGTTTTGGCACGAAGTCTTTGTCGTGCATTGGACGTGCTAGTCACGATCCGTTCAGCGTGTGGATATGGATCCATCCCCATAGGATCGCCCTCTCATGTTTCTCTCTTAATAGCGTACGCGCAGATTGTGAAAAACTGACGAGTTTCTGATTGATTGTGATGAGGGATCCGATGTGATGAGTTATTGAGCATAAAGGTAGAAGCTTTGACCATCCAAGTGAATTCTTTATGTGTATTCATGCATTTTCATGCTTTATTCATGCATATCTTCTACACATACTAGTTGATGCATTTTACATATGCATGGGACTTGTTAGTGAGTTGATGGACAATTGGAGGGTGTCGGATTTATGTAAAGGAAGAGTCTTCATCATACATTGACATGTTGTACTCATGTAAAGGTTTTCACATAAATGCTATTTGGAAATTGATATGGGATTGAATCTTTGTCATGTATAGACACTTTATATTCATGGTGAAGTATAAGAGTAAATGCTACTTGGTGCATATCTCTTTTGTACGCAAAATTGGTGCATTGTATTTGCTTTGACCTGATTAATTGGAAAAGCATGCTTATTATATTCTTCTTCGATTGTGCACTTTTATTATTGATATCCGTTGTTTCCTTGGTTATTTCTTGGTTATATCTCTATTATTATATATGCTTATGAGTTGCATAGGTTATATAAATTGAGTATCTTTTGACTAAACCTCACCACTACTTCGTTGAGGTTAGTCTTGATACTTGCTGAGTACATGGGGTTGGTTGTACTCATACTACACTTCTGCACCTTGCGTGCAGATTTTGGAGCTGAGCTGTTGTGGAAGACGGAGTATAGCTTTGAAGATGTAATAGCGTTCCAATTGCAAGCTACCATTTTGTTCATGGTAGTTAGGACTTGTACTCATGTTTATGTATATGCAAACTGATGTATTTTCTTCGTACTAGCATTGTAAATCTAAGTCTTAGTGGCTCATGACTGTACTACCAGTTCTTGGGGATAGTTGTATTCATTTTTGCATTTTTATTAAATTGTTTACTTGATGACCTTCAATTCAAATTGTATTATATCTTGGTTGGCTTACCTAGCTGGTTGGCTTAGGTGCCATCACGACTTGGTGGGATTTTGGGTCGTGTCACGTTTTTTCCCCAGTTTCTTCTGGTTGTCAGAACTAGGCTCTAAACCAGGACTCTACAAGATTTTACTAGATTGGGCCCCAAGGAGATGGAAGAGCTAGAGTGACAATCTCAACCAAGGTTTGAATAACATAGGTGTCACTAAGTGAAATCTTCCCATCCACCGAAGCCTTGGACAGAGTTATCCAACACCTGTGTTGGTTGAGGTAGTTGATATACCAGAGGTGTGCAAGTTCATCCAAACCCCACTGTTATCTTTTCATTTTTTTTTTAAGAAAAAAGAGATTGACTAGACCGGTTGCTAAGCTTTCCAATAGAAACTAGCTACTCCCATCTACCTTTATGTTCAATATCATGTAAACTATTGCAGATAGTTACTTATACTCCCTCTGTTACAATTTATGTGAACCAATTTGACTGGGCACGGAGTTTAAGAAAAAAGAGAAGATTTTTGAACTTGTGGTGTAAAATGAGGCACATATATTTTGTGTGGCTATAAATCATTGCATAAAGGTAAATTGTTTCCAAATATGGAAAGGGGTCATTCTTTTTGGTACGGATTAAAAAGGAAATATGTTCACATAAATTGAAACGGAGGGAGTATCTTTTTAAGACAACAATTCTACCCTCCAGTTCTTCTTTATTAATTGCTCTCCTGCTTCTTTTGTCAGGCTGTGAGAAGAAAAAACAAAATTATTAAGGATGAGTATCTGCAAATTTTCCTAGAAGAATCGTTTTTATACTTCGTGCAAATCTCTTGCAGGTTTGCTGATCATTCTACTAATCCCATCCATCAGCATGTAAGCATAAGACAAGAATGACATAATAAATCTGATTGAGTATGGTTTTGTTCCAAGGATACGTGGATCATCATGTATAGAGACATCCCCTTCCTGGCCAACCTAAGAAGACAAGGCATTAGTTGACTTCACAATGAGAAAGATGCTTATCACAAATTGCTTATGAATGCATCTCAAATATAAATATCATCTTACAAGGTCAAGAGGTTCGTACGCATCCATCTCATCTTCAACATTATCATCCTCAAAGTCATCTTCATCATCTTCTAAATAATCAGGTTCATCAACTTCATTGTTTTCTGCTTGGTCATCGACTTCATTGTTTTCAGCTTCTGACATTTCAAGGAATTTATAGGAGAAAAACTTGAGTAAAGGCTCCGATGTGACTATAATGACAACTAGCTGGAAGATAAAAATATACCAAAAGTAAGGTAAAATCTGGAAGCCTGAAAGTACTCCACAGAGCAAATCAGCTGTAGGGATAATTTTAGCTTTGATATTTGCAGTTTAGGAGTTTTAGAAAATACGACAGTTAGTTACATTAACAATTAAATTTCATGATAGATAATTACGTCAATGTTTAAGATTCATGATAGACTACAAATAACTCCAACTGTTTTCAACCTTTATGGACTTTTCCTTGCTCTTCAGATCTTGTAACTTTCACACAAGTGTGAATCCTCTTCGACTTCTCAAAGCGGGCAGACACAGTTTTTAGTAAAGACTCTGCATCGGGATGAGGGCATACTGACATAAATCTCACAGCAATGCACAGTCTCAAGCAATCAAGAATATGAGAGGAGAACCATCCTGTTGTATTCTGCAAATAAAATTATCAGAAGAAAAGTACCATTGGTGATTGCTTCAAGTATTTGTCAGAATACACAAAGATAACTACATTTATGCAAATCGGAATTGTTTTAAGTACATAAGAAGTGAGTTACTAAAGGAAAACCCCCAGGGCCCAACCCCCCAAGAGGCAAAATTATCTGTCCTTTCCACCTATCATCTGTTGTTAACATCCTCTCAGAGAAATTACAAGGAAAAAGGCACCAGGCAGAGCATTTAGGATATACTTGAAATGTTCATAGTAATACATTCAATCTGAAAACCAAAAATAAAGAAATAAAGAAAAAGACCAAGGTGAAAAAGAAGTATCAAGAGATAACATGATCGTAGGCATAAGAAAATAAAAACATTAAACAATCAGTCTCTAGTGGACAAATCTGTTTGCTTCTCTCCTGAACCAGATTGACTTCTAATCCTCAAGATTGTCAAGTCAATAGTTAGATTTGATTATCTTTCAGCACAAGAGATCTCATGAGCAGAAATATGACTTTTAGAATGAATGAGTGTGAGTGCGCACACGCAAATATGTTATTATCGCAAAGATAGTCCGCACGTTTTCATTTCTCCACTCACTCAATTGGTATTGACAAAGATGAATCGCAAGTCTTTTTGAACTTTCATCGGGAAAGGCAAACATGAAATTTGCTATATGAGAGCTATTTAGACTTAAGAGAATAGACCACAGGTCTAACTCAACTCCAAAAAAATTGCACCAGAGGTGAGAATTGTCCAAAACAATATAAAGAGACTACAACCTATACCTTCGATCAATGTAGGACTCTAACACTCCCTCCCCTTCTACCCTAAGCTGCACATTAAAACTGGCATCTGGAATATGGATAACATAGTGGTGCCTAACATTGAGTAACACAACACCAGGGATGAGTTTGACTTAGTGAACCCAGCCTCACGTATTCCGCCCCAATTTAGAAACCAAGCAACCCATGCCTTCAAGTGGGCCATGTAACCAACTGTGTGTGATAGCCCAAAAGCTAGCTAACTAAACCCGATCTTCAAGAAGACTTAGAACTTAGGATTTTTGTCTACTCTGGTCCATATTAAGAAAATGGACATAGGACCTAACTCAACCCCCAACGCTAGCTCGTGAGGTGAGGATTGTCCAAGACCATATAAAAAGACTATAATTTATACTCAACCAATTTGGCACTCTAACACCATAGCACACCAGAAAGCGGCGAAGAACAAAAGGTAACACAATATCGGGGACGTGTTTGGCTGTGATACCATGTTGAAGTGTGTGACCAACCCATCTATGACACACTTTATCTATTTAATGATATCTTCAACACGTTTCCCCGCATGCGGGCCTTGATTCTTTTCCATAGGCCAAATATGCAAAAATTTTGGCTTTTGGGGTTAATTTGGATCCAAAATTCATTTTCTTAACATGGTATCAACGTATCTAGAAGTCCTAGATTCAAGAAAGAGTCTACAGTCTATATGCAGAACTACTGCGGGACTCTAGAAACATTATTGTCCTGCCTTTTCAAAGAGACAATAAATTATTGAGATAAAGTGAATAGTCGAAGCATCACTCTGCTTCGTCCCTAAGTGAGAAACAAAGAAAATATGGAACAACATATCCATTAATTAAGAAACTACTTCATTACTTTATTAGTTTTCTACTATCATAAATTTATTATCCCAAGCAAATAGTAGACAAGAATTTACTATGTATACAGCAAGAAGTTACATACTTCCATTATCATAGTGGACAACATACACTGCAATCCTACTGAACAACTAAATGGTAATGGGGTTTCTGATTTGATGAAAGCAAGGGCATCACGAGCACCACAAACCATCCATGCATCAACGTGTCTAGCATACAATAGCTTGTTGAAAAGAAATATTTTACTGAATGATAACATACATCACAAGTTTCTTGATTTGAGGGTTTTCTGATTTCTTGTTGAATGTAGTTGTCCTTGAGTTCACAAAGTTGCAATGATATCTGACATTTATACGGAAAAACACGGAAGGCACATATATCATCCCATCTATGTTTCAATCTGCAGAAAAAAAAGAAAATACGACATAAAAAAGCCGATTAGCTGGCTGTCATTATCCATATGACCAAATCAAATCGGGTTTATGTATGAAGATCATGTTGGCTAGTTCAGCACTAATTTAGTTCTACCCTAGTTAAGTGATGTGAATATCAAAGAAAAAAGTATTAGAAAGAAGCCCTGCAGAAAAGAAGTTAGCAACCGGAAGAAATAATACACGAGAAAAATATTATTGATGTATTAACAATGATACAATGAGCCCTATTACTCCTATTACATGTGGGACTAGGACTAATTACACATAACTATCTAACACTCTCCCTCACGCCGGTGCATACAAACTGTGAGAAGGCACGGGAGAAAATATGTTATTGATATTGGATAAACAATACAATACAAGAGGTCCTTATTTATAGCTATACTATACAAGGACATACTACTCCTCTACCAATATGGGACAATACTACACTATATACATG